GCGGGGAGAGGGGGGTGACCGGGGGGGGTGCCGGGGTCCGCTGGCCCAGCAGGCCTGTGCCCGCAGGAAGCAGCTGACCTTGCAGTCCATGCGGGTGTACGACGAGAGGCAGAAGAAGGAAAACCCCACCTCGGACGAGTCCTCCAACGAGCAGACGGCCTTCAAGTGCTTTGCCCAGTCCTCCTGCCCCGCCGTGCCTGCTGTGGGCACCTCGAGCCTCAAAGGTGAGAGCTGCGGCCCCCAGACCCCTCCTCCGGACCCCCCGGCAGAGCCCCCTCCGTGAGGGGGCCGGATCCCGCCCTGCACCGCTGCCCTCTGGCACCGATCTTCCTTCCTTCCCCTCTGTCTTCCCTCTCTCCTTTCTTCCTTCTCTTCCCTCTCACTTCTTTCTCTTGTGTTTCCTTTACTTCCCTCTTTTTATCTGTCTCTATTTCCCCCTCTTCCCTTCTTTCTTTCCTCCTCTCTCCTTGCATTCTTTCCCCTTTATTTTGATCCTTCCCACTCCTTTTTCTCTCCCTCCCTCCTCGCCCTTCTCTCTCTCTCTCACTCTCCCCTTCCACCTCTCCCCCCGGCCTCCCTCTCCTCCTGCTCCACGGTCGTTCCCCCCCTCCTCGGCTCAGCAAAGCTCCGAGTCAAGGGAGCAAAGACAGACCACGGGGCAAAAGTTCAAAACTGGAGTCACTCCATTAATATTCCCCTCTCGAATCTGTTATTAGGGGAAGGATCTTTCCCCTGGATACGCTCCCGAACTTTGTTACAGAAAAGTCAGCCTCGGTTTCTCTCTGTGAGGGGTTGGGAACTGTCTGCAGCTCCCTCACATGTATTAATCCATCCAGGGGCGGGAGGGGGGGGCAGGGGGAGGAGAAAACAACCTCTTTTTTTTTTGTTGTTGCTGCACCGGGTTGTTTCAAGTCTTGCCGGGCGGCAGGAGGGGAGGGAAGCTGGGAGGGAACCCAAAAAGCAAAGCAGAGCTTCGCACCTGGGGCTCTGAAATTAGGAGGTGAAGTGCAGAGGAATCCAGCGAAGCCGTGCGGGGGTTTGGGGAGGGGGTGTCCAGG